ACTGAATATTTATACATATTTTTTCCACGTTTGTGCCAAGCTCAAATATTAAAGACAAATAGGCCACTGGCTCCTACAGAATTACAAACGAAACAAGGTGCCAAAACCGAAAACCATCAACCTACGAACATTTTTCAACGCTTTGTCAATTTAAAATAGATTCGTCAGACGAAAAACTTTTTATTCGTTCGGTGTTATTAGAATGTTGTAACGTCTGCCTTTATAATTTCCGTTAATAACTATACATTTCTTGTACTGATCGTATTTCTCGTAACTGGGTTTTATATTAGACTATCGTAACTTTCCGATTTTTAAATTAATATTTTTAGAAGAATTTAAAACTAAGTATTTTTTGTTGTTCGAAATCCTAATGCGCCAAAATAGACACGATTTTTCATTCAAGACACGAAGGTTATCAGACTTCAGTATTTTTTAAAGTATTTGTTATATATATGTGTATATCTTAATAATACAATACAGGAGAATCCTATTATAACAACTCGTAAAAATAATGATTGTTTCTCCGAGAATGGCAACAAGCCATAAATTTCAGGAATTGGATATTTAACAAGTCATAAATAATATTCTACTAAATAAAATAAAATAAAAATATGTTTATTAATTTTCAGTATTCATAGCAATGTTTAACATTTGGTAACCCTTTATAGTAAAAAATAACTGTGATACCTAACTCCATCTTGCATTTACTGTGTAATTTAAATTTGTAAAAAATCTTTTATAAACTAGAATCCCAGATTCTAGTTTAAAAAAATACATGGTGAATATAGAAAATAACCTTTTCTTTAAACGTTAAAGGATTAGTATAGATTTGTAACCTTTGAGCTGCAGACGCCAGTCGCCAACTATATATATTCACTTGATAAATATAGCTTTAAGAAATGACATTTTTATTTTCTATACTAAAATATCAATGGTGTGCGTAATATGTCATCTTTAAAAAATGCTGGTAGGCGGCAGTAAATAGTTAAGCAATATATTATATTGGTTATATAAAAAAATAACGTGTTGTTAGAGATGGAATTCGTGCGATTCTAAAATATACTAATTTCTATAAAATATTCTGTATGGTTTAGAACGAAATGTTGGTCCATACGAGTCCTCAATGGAGCTTGGAGCTGGCATTATCCGTATTATATTATGTTATACCGTCATTATATTATACCTTTTTCACTCAAAGCATGTTTTGTTTCCAGGACAATCCAGGCAGGATTGTAATACAGCGCTTTTCGGTATTAAGAAATCGGTATGATAATTTTTTTTAAAATCGATCATATGCGTCAAGAATTTGATATTAGGTACTAACTACCTCTATAGGCTTTCACCCCTATGACAATTAACATCAATCAATGTCAAGTATGAAACAGTGAACAGGACAATAATAAAAAAAGGACACATGAAAAAGAAAAAGTGCACATGAATCACGATAATTACAGATCGGTTAGTGTGAAAGTTAGGGATACGATTTGGACAGGTAATGCTTGTACAGTAGAGATTTAAAGGGAGATAGAGAAGGAGCTAAGCGAATAGGGACAGGAATATATATATATATATATAGCCTAACTACAGAGACCTTAAAGGATTCGCTAAGAAAGGAAGAGTTATGAGATGGGAATTCAAGGATATAGTTTTCGGAAAAGCATAAGCTACAGCTATGAGCTCCGTTATTTGAAATCGTGTTTGAGATAGGAAGGAGTTTTAGAATTAAACAGGATGGAATATAAGAGATGGAGAATATGAGTATCAAATCGCTGACGATTGGGAAACCAGCGTAGCCGCTTATGGAACGCAAACGCAATATGGTACTTTCTCAGACCGAATATAAAACGGATACAGATATTTTAGACTTGATCCAGCTTTGAGCAATTCTTGTAATGGCAGAAGGAGAAATTGTGCCAGTGAGGTTTTAGTGCTAAAGGGAAGAAAATTACTAAGACATCAAAGGATACTGAAGACACCGTACAATTTCTGGCTTCTAACATGCTGCTCCCAGGATAAATTTCGATTAATTAAGACCCCGCAAATTCTTTACTGTACGGCTGATATTTAAAGTCACACCTTCGATATGTACAGGAGTTAGCCTGGCCCAATCAAATCTCGACGTGAGATAAGGGCTGACAATAATTATAACTTTGCTCATGTTGGGATTGATTTGTAGACCAAAATTCAATCAACTATAAAGGGTGGCCAAAAAGTCGTGGATCAAACGCAAATAGGGAATAGATGAGGTCATCAGCTGCAAAAAAATATTCTACGGGAGGTATCTAAGCTCAACCCCTGTAGAGTTATAATTTATTTTGCGTTTTTATAAAAAAATGATTTTTTTTACTAATTCTTATTAATATTCGAAAATATCTACATCTTTTTCATCATATCCACTAGATTGGTACTGATGAGTTCTTGCGTTAGACATACTTATGTATAGTTGTTTATTGAGTGTATTGAAGATAATATTATTACGATATAAATTTTTTTCATATCATAACTTTTTGTTTACTTCGGACCCCATTGTGAAAAAAAATTACTCTACCGAAAAGTGACCCTGTATTACATGTTTTGGCGCATTTAACAGGGATTCTGAAAAGATATTACACATGGCCATGAATCGCTCTAATATCTTTCTAGGAAGATATTAGAGCCTTTCTAGGAAGATATCCCCTAATTGCATTTGATCCACGACTTTTTGACCACCCTGTAAAGTTATATAACTTAAAATGTAAATGCAAAACGACCAGATACTTTCACTATTAAAATTCAATATATTATTATTCATCTTTCAGCCGCTTACTTACTGTATTAATATCCTCAGAGGAACGTGACTTGTTACCACTAGGGGTAGTTATTGTGGGGTAAGGAGGGAAGTCACGTGTCGTCATCTCCGTCGCCAGGCGTCTGGACGCCGTATCAGTCTTGACGTGAGTAAATAAAACAATAACGATCAGATTATCACCCTCTAAGAACGGAAATGAGGCGATGCTTTCAAGATTGTACAGTCGCTAAGAAAATTGTTGAAGACGGCTATAAAGATATAGCGTTACTCCCAGTGACTGGTCAATTTTTATGTCGTTACAGTTTACGTAAGTTAAGTTTTAGGAAATAAAATTAAATGTTATTGAAGTTATACTTTTGGCGCGTTAGGGAAAAATGATGAGACTAACACAAAAAACCGACACTCGCACACCGTCACAAAAAGCCGACACCCTAAAGCTTAGTCAACATTTTAAAATAAAAAATGTCAATTTCTTTAATTATGTAGAAATATTTTTTTTGTGATATTTAAATACACTTTATTTAACTAGATAATGCATTATATAAAACTTTATATGTATTAAATACCTTTTTTCCATTTTTGTGTAGTTTTTTCTACAAACGTAGAATAAGGCGAAATATAAAAATTTTAAAAAGATTTTTATCTACGCAAAAGAAGTATAACTTCTAACGCGTGTACATAAGCAAACACACATTTTTTTTGTATAAATAAATTGTCTATGCTGCCTGCTATGTGTAGTCTGCCTAAGTAGGAAAAAAGCGTTCGCCAAACACATCCCATTTGTATAATAATTATAGTTATTCTTTGTTAGTATAATTTTATTTGACGAAGGTAATCGCTCATTTGAATGTGTGATTTGCTTAGGTATTTCAAATTAAATTTCCATATTTATTTTTTAATTAAGATGATTATCAAACTATAGATACTAAATAAATTTAAGAGGTTGTTGAGGTTTCCTTAATACAGAAACAGTAAAGAAAATTAGTAATTCTTGCCGGCTTTTCTTCGTAAATTCACTGTTCGTACAAAAATACTGGATTGCTTTGTTTCTTTTCATTCAAAGTTAGTTAGACTTTGACATACCGTGGAAGTCATTCGCAATTCTTTTGTTTAATATCCTTACGGTTCTGTTAATTTCCTTTACTTTCGTGATATTATCGAACTAAATAACAGCTGCATTTGCGCTAAATTGAAATTCTGAGGAATTGTTACTGCCCTTTATTTCTACTAAGTTGCGTTAGTAAATATCTGAATCTTCAATTTTAATAAATTTGTCCTCACACAATTATATACTTCCTGTTAATATTCTATGACTATTTGTAATACCAAGCTATAGTCAAATTATTTTTAGCTTTAACGTAGCGATCGCGTCATTTTACTGTTTCTGAGCTTGTAAATTTTATTATCTTTTACGTTGTGTGTGCATAATAAATAGGATATAGAAGGTGTAATAAAACCGGGTGACGTTTCCGCTTCGCGTTTTATATTCACGTTTTCTTGAATACTGAATTATCGAATAACTCACAATATTTGAATCTCTTATTTAAATATAAAAAATAATATATTCTTAGCACGACTAAATTTTGATATGTGTTTTGATGTGTGTGATGTGAAATAAATAAGTATTATTATTATTAATATTCAAATCTCTATTTCGTAAATTTTTTATGAAAAGGCGCGTTTTGTTGACGTTTAAAATGTGTTTACCTATATGTGGGATAGTGTTTAAAATGTGTTTTTTTTATAAAAATAAAATATCGCAAGACAAAACATGTAAAATGTCAGTTTATTGGTTTGAAAAATTAATAAAAATATTTAAAAAATTTCACGCTTTTTCTGCAGTTTTTGTAATCAAAGGTCCAGCACTAAGCTGTGCAGTCACTGTTTAATTAGAAAATACAATAAGCCTTTCTTACTGTTGAGTTAAATTTCGTACCTAAATACAAATAATTACTAGATATTATTACAACCAATGAACAGCTTACTAATTACTAATGTCGGCCTAGTGGCTTCAGCATGCGACTCTCAGTCGTGCGTCAGGCACAGAAGGCTGATCACCTACTTGCCTATTAGATTAACAAATGATCATGAAACAGATACAGATTGAGGCCCAGACCTAAAAAGTTTGTAGCACCATTGACTCATTTTTAATGAACAGTTTCCCTTCTTCAAATGTCGCCAATTCGATTTGTCCTCATTACCATCGCCTCACCTTTCGTCCCTTTTCTGTTTTTCCACCCTTAAGGTAACACTGTAACGTTCATCTCCATCTCTCCATCTTCCCTCTTCTTCTGTTAACACGTGTCTCACTCGTTTTCTAATTATTTCATTTTAAATGTTAGTAGATACTTGAAAATAATATGGACGCAATTTTGAAAACTATTTACTTATCATAACGTAATCATAACCCACTATGTAAATACTTCGTAGCTGCATAAACTAGTTTATAAACTAGTAAACTCACCGCTAGCTTAACTGACAGTTATGTGTAAAACCGCCCGTAAGCTACTGGATATAGTAACTACATAGTTGCTGGTGACTATAGTATATACCTCTTTCATTTGCATCTGTTTTAAGACCAATTTTATTTAATTAATTAATTTTTTAACGTTTCTTAAAGCTATTGAGTTTGCTAAGATTTAATGACTTGTCAATGCTTGACCTTATAGATTTTTGATTGGGTCTCAGATAAGTTCCTCGCTGTTTTCCTTTACCATAAAACTAAGGGGAACTTTAAAAAAAACGTCAAGGTAAACACTCCACAAGAGCGGCTTTAGTTGAAAGCACCACAAGAAACTTAGCTCGCAATAATTCTAGGTAGGTACCTAACATATATAAGAATAATATCGGAGCTGTCTTTTCTAATCTGTGCGTGAGCTGCATATAAATATTTATTATCATTTAATATAGGAATTCCTGAGCGTATAGTATGACTTTCCTAACAAAGACACGCTATGTGGAATATTATTTTATTATAACATTACCTATGACTTCACGTTTATACGTCAATACCAGGCTATTAGATCGTTGCCTAATAGTAGGTTAGGTTAGCGGTTTTTCTTGTTCTGAAAGTACCAAATTATATCTAACGTCGTTTATATTACGAGCAGTGTTGGTTTGGTGACTTAAGCACGCGAGACTCAACTCTACCGTGTTTTTAAATCCCGGCAGTGTACCAATAACAGACTGCTATTCACACCTCAACCATAAACAATACGACTTACGGACGACTCATTGGTCTAGTGGTTAGTACCCCTGACTGCGAATCCATGGGTCCCGGGTTCGATCCCCGGCTGAGACAAAACATCGATGTGATGAGCATTTGGTGTTGTGCTTAGGTCTTGGGTGTTTAAATGTGTATTTATTTATATATATATCTATAATATGTATGTATATCCGTTGCCTAGTACCCATAACACAAGCTTCACCAGCTTAGCATGGGACTAGGTCAATTGGTGTGAATTGTCTTTAAAAAAAAAAAAACAATAAAGTGCTTGGAGATACAGTGTTCCTACTAGGCAATGCAATCTCGAGTCGAGGTCCTTAATTCGAGATCTCGTGGGATTAAAATTACAATCTAGCGAGATTTCGGTATTCTAGAGATCTCTAGTAGTGCGAAAACCATATTTTTTTAATCGAACAACTTAAACTCGAAAAACTTATTTCCAGAGAATACTTCTATCTACCTATCCTAGATATTTAGAAGTAATTTTGGAAATAACTTCTTAAGAATTAAGACTATCGAGTGTGCTGTCTGATAAGCAGTATCTATGTATAGTCGCTATGTACCCAGCAGGTAAAAAGGCCCTTTCAGACTCAACACTGGCTGACACCAGCGTGAGTAAGTAGAAGCGAACTGTAAATAGCTACCTAATATGTTTAGCTGCTCTCAGAGTCTCTTCAAATCCCTCTTGAAGAGTCATTTTGGATTTTATATCAGCAGCATGTGAATCAAAATCCTCTGCAATAATTGAAAGAAGCAATTCTTTTTCTGTTGCGGTCCTAATCTTTTTACTAGCAGTGGAGACGTATGGAGGCGTAGACTTCTTTCCGTACTATGTATTAGCTAGGCAAATGGAACATTTCTTCGTGGGATTTCGCTAACAACGCTGCGGTAGCATTTAATCCACTCTCAGCGAAATGCTTGTTCATCAATGATATTCACTCATACTATTTGCACATAATCTCGTTAATCCTACGAGATCTCGTCATGCTAGGCTTCGTATTGATCTCGAAAAATGGCACGAGATCTCGTGGGATCGGGAGCTCGCGAGATCGGGACTGCATTCCCTAGTTCCTATATCGAACCACAGGACACGACTAATACACAGACTACAATTATTATATTCCCCATAAACATATTATACGTGAGTGCCTTTTTACTTGAAAGTCTCAGGATATAATTCAACACTTAATTCATAAGTGTATGTATGTATGTGATGTTTCACAGAATAAATAAAAGAAAATAAAAGCAATCATAATTTTGTCGCTTATATCTTGTACGTCAGGCTTAGGTTAGGTAGCTTAGGTTCGTACTCTGACTTTAACTCAACTCTAATTTGCTCTACATAGAGCGTTGTAAATCAAAGAAGATTTACTGATAGTACAACTACAAAGCTGGATCAGTTCAAACTAGTATCTAAAAGTTCTAAAGCTATCAGGCAATTAGAAAATTAGTTTCGAATCTATTGGTTTAATGGCGATTTGAAATTCCATCCGTGTAGTTTTGATCAAAAGTAATATTTTATCATTGAACATACATATTTTTACACGCTTTATATTATTAGCTTCACCTGTATGTATGTATGTATGTATGTATGTATGTATGTAACCGACTCGTTCGGACTCGATTTTGACCCACTTTTAACGGACAGATTTAATTCACTTTGCGCACCTGTCAAAGATCGATGACAATGCAATAATCCGAAAAAAAAGAAAAATTTAACTAAAAATAAAAAATAAATAATAGTTAAAAAAACTAAAAAACACGCTTTTAAAGCACATCAAACTAAAAAGTGAAAAATAATTCCTAATTTAGGCTGAAAATGGTAATGAACAAAAAATACTGGTATTATTGTGAAAAAGCGTGGATTGCTCGATAGATTTATTGATGATATTTTTTAAACTATTATTTATTTGTTAAGAGATTGGTTTTGAGTTATTCATTGCGGTGAATTGCATACGGTATAAAATATTAATATCAAAACGATAACATATTTCATATGGCTACCACCTTACGTACACTAGCGTGAAGTTCGATTCCCTGCGATACAATATTTGTTTCGGCAATCAGCCCTAGTAACTAGGTACTGCTAATACTAATTAGTTCTGATTTTAATTTAGAATGCGTATTCATAAAATAATCTACGTAATAATTACGAATAATGTATAGGGCTCAGATGTAAAGGTAAAGAAAGTATATTCATTGATATGGAGCAGTGATGACTTAGTGGTTTCAGCGTGCGACTCTCAACCCTGGGAAGTAGGTTCGAGAACGGACTTTCTGTTAATGTGCGCATTTTACACTCACTCGTACGGTGAAACCGGCATGCCTTAGATCCCAAAAGTCAACGGTGTGTGTCAGGCATAGACGGTTAATAGCCTACTAGTCTTTTAGAAAAAAACAAATGATCACGATACATATACAGAATGTGTATACAACCTTGAAAGGTTCTAGCGCTACTGTTTATTTTTAATTTGTTATTGCTATCAAAATTTAAGCGCATTTAATATGCAGGCACCTGACATTATGTTTTATTCCGCAATGCTGTCCCCGAGTAATCGAATAACACACGCTATTTCACGCGGACTCAACATCGCTTTAAATATGCGGCCCGTAATTAATTTTGCCATGTAATTTTATTACAAAGTATTCCTGCTCTTATAAAGCTGATTTCACAAACTAGTGTATAACTTTATTGATATCATTTTATAAAATATTCCTGAATCGTATTTTTCTAAAAAGTTATCTGAAGGTCGTGTTAGTGGCGCCGCACAACTTCCTCCACTCTCTCCTGTCTTCGACAAGCCTTTGCGCCTGGGTGATGGTAAGGCTCTGGCTTTTGATTGTTCCAGGGAGTATAGGATCGGCCTCGAGGTCTAGTGCAATCCAGTCTGCCAGTCACGATGAGTTTCTCAGGCTTTCTGGATCTCTGTATTGTACATGTCCAAAAAAACGATGTTTGGTAACAAAGTGACGAAAGACGTTTTTTTTATGTAACCGTCTTAGTATGAACACGTTTAATAAAACACTATTTTGACCGGATGCGTGACCGCGTGTGTGGTCACCGTGACCTGTAAAGCACGCGAAACGTCGGATAAATTTAAAATTATGTTAAATAGTTGTAAATTTATAATAATACATAACGTGATCCGGTGGCCAAAATAGTGTTTTATTAAATGAATAAAAGTTATGTTAATCAAAGACAATACTATGAACACGTTTGTTTCCTTAGCTGTACAAAGAATCCTTAGCATCCGCCTCCAACACCACATTTCCAGAGCATCGATTGTTAATGTTTTTTTAATGAAGTGAAGTATTATCTTTTATTTTTTTTCTAAACAGTTTTATTTACAAGCTTGTATGTGTAAGAATAAGTAAATATATTCTAGAAATAATAACTTTTACCATATTTGTTCTAATGTAAGTTGATTCTTAATTGTTATAAATATTTAATTAATAAATTTTGAGGTTAATTTTTTATCCTAATTTCATTTGACAGGAACCACTTTCCATTAGAGCCATAAATAGATGATTTAAATTCATGTTTTGTTTGGCAGATTGCGATGGAGACAGACAAAATGTCAACAGCATCATCAGTGGGTGCTGAGAGGAGGCCCTTGCTGCAAGCGTTAGTGCTGGAGAGAAGGATCCTTTTCGCTTGCACTGTTCTCGTTGGGTTGTCAACATTTGTATGGATAACTGCTGTATGCACCGAGAAATGGGTGCATATTTATAGCCCAAATGGTATGCGATTTTCTTTCTTATTGTTGCTACCGATTTCTTTGTAATAACGGTTTTGCCGTTGCAAATATTTTGCATTTAGCATGACTTAAGTAATAGATTTATAACATGCGCACGATTTAGCATTTCCATTTTGTAAAAATGTATATCTAAGCTATATCCAATTTCATCCAAACTAAATTTATATAATATATTAGTATGATATAGTATGGTCGCTATCGCTAAAGTTTTTTTTTTAAAACAATAAAATTACAAGTTAAAAATCCACTCACATTTTTTTCTACATGTGTCTTCACTAAGACATCAAGGAATATTACGATCTAGCCTAATTAAGACTAATAAGTAATTTAAGTCTAACCTAATTTACTAATGAGGATTTTTAATATAAGACAAGACAATCTGTTCTTGTGTTCACTCATTGTTTAGCACTTAATACTAACGTGCATTAAAGTCTTAATTCACTAGTTCAAATGGTTTTGTGAAAGTCCATTGGTGTACAGCTGGGATCCGAACCTAAGCACCTCAGGGATGAGAGTCGCACGCTGAAGCCATTAGGCCATCAAACTATTTTGAGTTTGCTTAAAATATAATCCTATGCCAATATTCTCTAAAAGTTAAGGCGCACGTTCGAAGTCGTTCAAATACTATTTGAATAAAAATAAACACTGAATAAATACAATGAAATTGCTTTGTAGAAGCTAACAATGTTTAGAACCAATACTGCCTTTGAGTGCTCTTTGCTGGGAATCAAAGGAGAAATAAAAGAGCGTAGCTCCGCCAACTTTTAAACGCTTTAAAACATTGTTAAATAAAAGTTGGGAAATTAAATTCTCTATATTGGATAGATTTTTTAAAACAAATGCCTGTAATTAATCCCTGTTCGAAAAGCAGATGTTTAGGTCTGTGTATATAGAAAGAAGAATTTATTCAGTACTAAACTACGCAATAGTCATGGCTGAAGTTATTTTAAAACTACTTAAATTTTATGACAACAAAATGTTTTCATTTGCAGGGTATTTGGATTTTTTCACCAAAAAAGTTTACGTAAAATAAATAAAATATGATTAAAATATTTTATTCTCACCAAGTATAAAATTCCTCAAATAAAATACAAATAATACAAACCTAAAGCTAGCATACATTATTAAATTAAAGCGTTAACTAGAAAAGTAAAAAGCCAAGTGAAAATAAAAATATGGACAAAATATCGTTACACAAAAGATCGAAGTATATACTGTTTTCTTAACGCCAATACCGTACTACAAAATTCGCTAATTGACTTTCAGCAAAATCTTGATATATCACTTACATTATACGCATTTAACGCAGTGGTACACTCTGATTAATTAATGTTACACTCAGGTCGACGTCCTCACGTCTATTTTCGCTAACGCGTACTATGAGAATGTCTAGGGCTATTTAAGAGTTTCTTAATTTGTATTTTTATGGAGCGTATAATTTAATGAGTTCTATTTCATACAGAGTTATGTTTAAACTATAGGTTACTATACTTTTGCTCTTTTTCAAAGACTAAATCTCTATTTCCAGATATGGTAGATGTCAAGTTCTGAATGTAACGAGAAAACCCGCGTATACCAAAATAAATATTACGTACAAATATCGTCAATAATATAGACAAAAACACATATTATATTAATAAAGATTCTAAATTTTTGCATCGGCTACCAGCTTTGTATCAATATTTTGGCTCAGTTATAATGTATTTTCGTACAACACACAATTTTAATGTCGTTGATTTGCGTGAACAATATATTATCATTGGGAAATAAGTTGTTATTTTTAGATGTGTTGGTGGACTAAACTATGATCCTAGATTAATTATTAGTTAGATTTGCTCCTTTTTTATAAACTATATATTTAAAAATAAATAAATATATAAATGCTGTTTTCTACCTCCACGATTTAAGGTCGCTGAGATTTTATATATGCTTTTTCTTACAGGTATATATCTACCAACCAGGGGAGAATATTTTATGTGGAGTGACTCCGGTGTATGGGAAATATGCAGATACGTATTTCGTCCTACGCTTGTTCCCGAGGCAGTGAATGCATCAACAACACCAAGACCTATTGATGTTACAGGATTGACAGGGGAATATTATACAAAGTGAGTATTTTAACGCAATTATATAAATAAAAGTATGAAGGTCATGTCACAAATTAAATGTTACACAAATAAAACAATTATTTAGTAAATTTTGAAGAACAGTGAGAGAACGGGTAAGAGGCTCGCATGAAATGACTTGCGAGTGTGTTGCTGGTCTTTCAAGAAGTGGTACGCTCTTTTCTTGAAGGACCCTAAGTTGAATTGGTTCGGAAATACTTCAGTGGGTGCTGGTTCCAAATAGTGGTGGTGCGCAGCAGAAGCTGCCTTAAAAAAGCTCAGTTTCTTAAAACCTGATATGGCTTGTATGTGAAATTAAAAAATATACATTTATGCTGTAATTTATACATAAAATATCCTATATTTAGTTTATTTAAACATATGGATAGCCTGAACTCATTACTACTTCGTAGGCACAGTATGAGTTTATTTTTTCCTGGACCGCCTTCTGTTTTCTCTCACTCGGTAATTCCATTAGCACCCGCTGGTTTACTTTAATATAATAGAATCTAATTCTTAGAATAAATTCATCTATTTTTAATCTCAGGTTCACGTTTTGCGTGATTCACATTTATTATATGGCTTGAAAGCGCATATGGTATATCCCACAGTTTCTATACCCAAGAAAGTAGTCGAAATATTATAATTTATAATATATTTATCTGTAGTAAAAAGTGGAATCACACCTCGGTAATGATACCTATAGTTGTCTATTAGTACCGATTAGTTAGGCATGCGAATATCTTAGCAGACGCGTCATCCCACGAAATGCGATTCTTAACTCCGGGTTCGAAGGAAATTTCGTCCACGAAGTGAATAATAATTAACGATGCAGGTACGAGTAAACATACCGACTTCGCATATGTTGACCCATCGATGACGTTCAGGCACACTTATACTTGCGTATAAAGAAAAACGATATTAAACAAATACAACTAAGAGGCCAAGGGCCTTAAAGCTTTGAAGCGCTACGTAAAAACAGTTAAATGGCATTTGGATAATGTCCCACGCGTATCTATTGGAAAAGAGTTAGCCGACTGAATATATTTATAGTATTTTTAATGATTAAAGCACTTTATTTCTCATTACATAAATGTTATTTTTTACATGAGTAATAATATATACGAACGAGATACACGTTACATAGCCTTATAGTAGGTATTTCGCGGTAGTATACAGTCGATTGTGTAAGTGTTAAGAATCTAAAAATGTATTTTAGTAATTTAATTGTAATAGCGGAAATTTCACCATATGACCTCAGGGATAGATGTCGCCCGCCACGCATTAGAGTAAAACATCTCTTGAACCTTAAGCTAAGTTTTTGGGGCAACTAAATAATTTGCCCCAAAAACTTAGCCTGCAATAACCCAAAATAACGATTGTTATAGAGTTTTGGTATTTCAGCAACCCATCACAAATATATCTCATGCTTACAAGTTTTAATCTCGCTATTAATTAATTGGGTGTTCCAAAAAAAATTGCTTTACTATAATAAAATGTGAAATTCGAAATACTTGCAGTCAAATCGTAATGTTTAAAATTACATACTTATATATAAGTAATATAAATTATTTTAAAGTTACATTATTATAATTTATATTACTTTATAACAACACCAGTGTTGGCTTAAGCGTGCGATTCTTATCCCTGAATTTTATAGCGCCACCGGGCTCTATGAAACTCTTTTTCAAATTCAATTCAAAATTTCAAGTCATAATTGCAATTATTTTTACTATGCTATTTTTATTAGTAGTATAGAAAATGAAATACACTTCATAACCAGAAATATATCTACTCTGATTTTACTAAAATTATTTGCTACAATACGTTAATTGTCAGACGCATTTAGTAAATTAATATTGACAGCTACTGTCAACTGTCAATCGCTCCCTTTATACCAAGTTTATATTTGGCGTTTGTAGTCAAATAGACTTTACGTAATTTAATTAATACGTCAAAACATCAAAACAATAAAAAGTTACGCACACCAAATTAAAATGCGTTTAAATTTTACATTTTTTCGATAATATATTTAGAAATTAATATACTTAACTTTTCCGATGTTTTTTGTCCTGTTTGGTCTGGTGAACTTTATTTTCTTTTAAGTTTCAAAGTATTCTTTCTATTCATGTGTTTTTTAATGGGAGGTGCCGGGCCCTCAAAATTTTTGTTCCTTTCCCATACAAGCTAGTATTAATTATAATAATAATAATAGTCTTTATTCAAAAACATTAACATTTAAAGACATTTCCATTTTAAGCCTCATCTAGTGTAACGGTGTGCCCTTTTTTTGGCATGGTTGGAGGTCTTCCACAGTCCGTTTCACAAGGCATTTTCTTTTGCGAACTAGCGAACTGTGGAATCGGCTCCCGGGGGGGTCTTCCCTCAGAGATACGACCTCCAAATGTTTAAAAAGCGAGTCTAATCCTCCCTCAAAGGCAGGCAACGCAGCCGCTGAAAGTGGGTGTCTATGGGCTGCGCAGACTTCCCTTTTTGGTCATCCCGCAAGTTCGTTTGCCGCCCTATTATATAAAAAAAAAATAAAAAAAAAACGCCTCCTCCAAATCCCGCTATTCTTCTCTGTGCCACTCTCTGCCATGTACCGCCTGCTGTTTCTTTAATGTGGTCTATCCACCTTCTAAGTTGTCTCCCTCTTTTTTGTTTGCTGTACCTTGGTCACCAGTTTAGTTTATTTCCAAAGGAAACTTAACAATGAGCTGGCGCCGAAAACGCATAAGACGACCATATAACGGATCTAAATATTAATGAGAACGAAACTATTAAACGTACAACTAATTGTTGACTCATTTGAGACGCTTGCCAAGGGAAGATGTAATTGTTATTCGAGATAATATAAGATTCAATTTGAGAATTGGAAACTACTCAAAAGCGATATTATGTTCACTTCAAAACTAAAAGTACATCAATATTCAGGAAAAATAAATATTTTATTCATTCAATATTAAAAATCTTTTCTGCGCATCAGAATTTTCATACCCAAATGCTTTTGTATAATATTATGGATACGTCCTATAGGAAACTTAATTTATTTTGCTATTAAACAAATAGTAACCCGAAAATCTGCCAAGACAATGTATTCAACTTCTATTAGCATTTGTTCAGTCACTTCCGATGTACTCGTATGTCGTCCCTTGCGGGCTTCTTCTTCGGGAAAGTTCTTCCTTGCGTGAGCACACTGACGCGTAATCCTAGAATATGTTGGAACATGAACTCCTCATTTCGCTCTCAAGTATTGATTTACCAGCTCTGTAGTAAAAATTTTCAAGCACTTAAATTTTACCCATTTTAGGAACACGTCCCGACGCGATGCAAACAAATGACTCCTATTTTTTAAAACAAAAGATAATTGTTTCCTTTTTTATTATTATTATCTAATGTCTGAGCTATGCCTGAAAGTATGTTTTTTATTTCCAAGGAGATAGTATAGGCATAGTATTATTATACACCTCTGGAGAATTGTTTGGTAGCTTTTGAATTTAGCGCGAAAGATGACTGAAGAAAGAAAGACGGGGCAAAAACTGTTTTATTGTTAATAAGTAAGAATGTCATACTTTTACATAAATATCGTTATAATTGTTTTACATTTAAATACACAAAACGATATACTTTTTTACTCTCTGTAAGCATTATATTGTCGTCCTTTTGCAATTTTAAAAGATTAAAACTCTTATAATAAATAAATATACTAATCACTCTTTGACAAAACTAGTATTGATTACCTTAATCTTGACATTATTACAGATTTTTTTTTGATAAGTATCAATATATAACATTATTTAAACCTTAGGTTAAATATATGTTAACATATTTTGCAATTAACACCATCTGTACTGCGCTCGGTAACTAGGGAAACCTGGTTTTATAAAATAAACAGATCAACCCACACAATAAGATTTATAGTCACCGATAAAAATACCACATCGGTTCTTTCAGTGCGGGCTAAATCTACGTTACGTACATAATAAACAAACAATGGCTGTTACGTAGAGGAAATAGAAATTACTACATATTAATAGGTAATGGTTTGTTCGATGGACATGAAGCGATAATGTTCCTGAGATAAACGTGTCTATCAAACGCCAAAATAGATTTGCAAGAATGTTTACAATGTGTGAATTTTACGCATGAGGTAGTCTTATTTAAATTTCGAATTCTCAGAACACGTGAAGTACCAGTAAGAAGAGTTTTTATTAATTTGGAAAAGACTTTTAGGGAGAGGTTAAAACATATAAAAATTGAACAATAGACATATTGAAACTATTTTTTACAATTATTATTTGATGGTTTAGATTAATTAACAATATTTGATTGAACCTGTTATTATTTTATAAATAATCGTTCCGAAAACAATTATAATATGTTGTTTACGCATTTTTTTTAATTACTTATATTTTTTAACATTTTAAACTGTTAAAAAAGCTACACTGAAATTACTTGCAAAGCCTTAACTCTTCCGAAGCATTTATTAATCCTTATTGGCTATTAGCGTCCATGGAATCCATTAATATTTAATTATTATTACCGAGAAATAATGAACGTTTTATTAGGAATTTGCTCCAGAACGGAAACAAATAAAGTCTTATTTCAAAGCACTTGTTCAAATGGTCTATTAGTTTTATTGTATACACTAAATCTATTTTTGGTATTAATAAAATTTATTGCGAATTGATTGCGTGTAATAAACCGTCTAGTTGATTTATCCCTGGAATCGTTACCAAGTGTATTTTTGTAATCGACGATTTCAGTTATTAATAGATTCATCTTAAAATAGACGTGGTTTTTTACCTTTTTGAATAGGCTTTGATTGTATGTGATTTTCTAAGTTGAATAGTTATATTTACATAAGTTTATCTGAGATTTTAAGCGTAGATTATTATCATACATGTCACAGTTTATATCTTATAGGTACCAACATATAATATATAATTACTAGACAAGAGTAAGACACGTGCTATCTTTGTGTCTGACATTTTTTGTAGATACTGATATGTTTTTTTTAAATTGTAAAACATTTTTTTGTTCTATCATAAATAGTTTTCTCAGCGCATGCGATGATAGAAATTTTATGGGCATTTTTTACCACCATTATTGCGGTTTTAGTCGGGATCCTTTTTTTTTCTTGCAATTAAGCCTATATTAATCAGTGATAATGTAGCAATCAAATGGTTAAAGAATTTCTAAAATCGGTCCACTTTTTGAGCCTATTCGTTACAAACATACTCTTCTTTTCTATTTATAATAAAAACACCAAACTATAGTTTGCTTGTCATCTACAACTTCTTATCTTTGATACTGTAAGGAACTGTAAGAAAGGTAATTAAGAACAACTTTTTTTTTGTAAGGAATCTCGCTGTTGGCCTTAAGGGCCCTTACAGCTCAGCTCGGGCTGTTTTGGCGAGCGTAGCTCGGCCTGAATGGGCGTTTATCCCACGACTAGCGCAAGGGCGTGTCCCGTGAGACTCGAACCTCGTCTTGGGCCGTCGCGGGGTGGTCAATCGCCTGAAGGGCAGGACGGAAGCTGGAGTGAGCGAAGTACGCAGTAAAGGTCCTCGCTTTCCCCAGTGAAGGCGGTTTTTTAACCTAATCTGTTTTTGGCTATTATTATTATTGGCCGCGCGGGCGGCTTTTAATTTGTCATTGTTATTGGATCATCCGGATCCGTTAAAACGTGTCGGGGCCTCCTACGAGCCTTTTTTGTCGGGAAAAGAATAAAAAATTGTTTAAAAACACAATTATATGGTAGCTAATCATACAGACGCCAGTCTCCACACTAGGGACATCCCTGTGTTGTGGGTGACCAGATACTCTTCCACGGTTCATATCTACGTGGAACAATACAAAACAATTAATGAATTTAAAAAAAAAATTAAGTATATGTTTTTATACTTGCTTTTCAACTAGGTAAGGGTTGACGTACCAAGCATAAATATGATGTGATAAATAGTAAATACGCTTAACCTTACCACTGAAATTGTTTATAGTTCTTGTATTCCATCCGAAAATGAGACATAAATATTGTTCATTTTGGTGTACCCCTGATTTGCGTTAATACTACAAGTTTTTTTTTATGTTCAAGTTAAATATATCTTATGTAGTTCTGCACACTTTGCGATCACTTAATTTTATTTACCTTAACAGGTTATCTAGAAGGCCGTTGCCCTCCTTATCATTTAATTACAGTGTACACTCTTTATAACGTCAATCGTTAAAGCGGAAAACTCTCTATAACGTAAAAATTGTTACATTGCCTGTAGGAAATTTTGGTCTCAGTTACTACCACCGTTTCCTATCGTGTATTATCAGTCGTAGATAAACTTTGAAACTGTCAAGACGGTCAGTGAAAGAAAAGCGTTATGTTTTATATGTGTTTAGAATAGTTTACCTATTGATAGTATATATTAAAATTAGAAATTATTGTAGGTGATTGGTTAAGTTTGTTTTTTTTTCACCCCTATAACGAAAAAAAACTGGCCCCTTAAAATTCGTTTTAAAGAGTTTACACTGTATTATAAATTGAACAGATTTTTGCATCGAATTTTTTTAATAAAATAATTAATTACCATATTCAAAATGCTAGATTATAGTAAATTTTATATAATCTAGCATTTTTAATCATAAAAATATCAGAAAAAAACATCCACAAATGTAATTTAATCAACTCGTTTTCATTGTAAAACATCTGAAGGGGAAAAGTTTAATCATAAAAACTTTTCTGTTAAAATGTACCGTCACTCATCTTGAAATGAATCCAACAATTCGTAAAGAAAAATACAAAAAATTATCTTTCATTCAATTAACGCGTGTATTCCAATTAAATTAAACTAAATATATATATAATATTAGTAAATAAAATTGAGTTTTTTATTATCTTAACTATAGGATGTCATTATGAAGCTTATAATTTATTTTTGTAATTATGTTAGGTTGAATGAAATCTTCTGCCACATAATCATAAGTAGTAAATAGTTACAAATTTCTACAACATAAACAAATTACAAGAGTGACTATAAGTTCAAGCGTCGGAGCATATATAGTGACGTATATCCCAGCAATACTAATATACCTACTATATAATACAACATATAAAAACTAACCACATGAATTAAATATTCTAGTTTAATATATCTAAAAACTTGTCTCTGGCTACTACTACTTAGATAGAAAGACTATAAAAGTTATACTTTGTTTCAGACTGCACGAACTACTTAGCACAGCCTATTATGAAGAATGGAAAACCAGCAGATCCCGCTTACGATATTGATGTTGCAAGTAAGTTTTTCCTTATAATATGAAACGAAACCAAATACACTGGATACTACTTTAGTTTCTTTTGACCAGGTATCTATTATGCACCTTAGTCGGTATTCAGTATTCACGAAGCAGTATTGGGACAATTAATGGGAGTTTATTTTAAAAAACGTTATATAAATAGTAACAGTAGCTCATAGTAGTAGTGTTGGCCTAGTGGCTTCAGCGTGCGACTCTCATCCCTGAGGTCGTAGGTTCGATCCCCGGCTGTGCACCGATGGACATTCTTATATATGCGCATTGACGGAGTGTGGCAGGCACAGGAGGCTGATCACCTACTTGCCTATTGGATTGCAAAATGATCAAGATACAGATTCAGATGTGAGGCCCAGACCTAAAAGGTTGTAGCGCCACTGATTTTTTTAATATATAAATAAAACAGTGACGCTTCAATAGGACTGAGCTTCAGATTTATATATCTGTTTTGTGGTAAGTATTCAGCCTTCTGGGTCTAACACACTCCGTCGATTTTTGGGTTTAAATATTGCTGGTTTCCTCCCAATGTTTCCCATCACCGTACTAGTGAGTTTTAAATACGCAGTTAGAAAAACCATTAGCGCTCAGCCGTGATTCGAACGCACGACGTCAGGGTTGAGAAGGGCACGCTTAGAAACAATAAACTTATGATTTACTATATTTATTTTAGTAGTTTTTAATGATACGTTATCAATAACATGTAACAAAGTACATAGAAGAAACTCTATATTTCACTCCCTCATACTTCCCAAATAAAATAATTATAATGATTATATTATCTACTAAATAGAGTAATCGCCGTACAGCTCAGTAGAATTAAGCAGGTTTGAGGTGCGCCTCGGGCGGTAATGTCGTAATTGCTTCGCGGAGCTCATTTATATTAAATTATAACAATGTTTGTATTACCGGAAGGAATTAGCTCGCATTATTTATAGTAAGAAAAAATACTCGTTCTTGTTTTACATCCAAATATCAAATGTCAGATACAGAATTATTATTATTATTATGTATATTAACACACTAGCAGCTTAATAAGCTGATGCACGCGTATTTGGAGATTTGGAGAAACTATCCAACTTATTTTTAAAAGAGTTCAAACATGGTGCACTAATTACACTATAGAATGCCGACAAATTTATATTTATTTATTTATAAAAGCTTGCCAACGCTCGGCACACTGATATATTGGTTCAAATAAAATAAAACATTTAATGTGACAAGCACTTATAGGCGTACATAACAAACACGAAGAGATAAAAATAATTTATAAAAACTAAAGGACAATCGATTTTAAAGTGTAATATATACTTATCATTCACATTATTGTATAATTATGGTTTATCGTTACATTAATATACCTAATAACATATATAGATTTTATTGCCAGTTCTCTTCCGTTCTACGCCCTTGATTTGAGAACTGGCAGTAACTGTAAAAGCAGAGAATGTATATATTTCTTTTTTGACGTTCATAAGTGAATGTACACTTATGAACGTCAAAAAAGAAATACATACATGAATAAATGATTTTTTACTTTGACTTTGACCACTATTAATGAAAACGCCTGATGTTAACTAGGTCATCAATGCTGGAATCGTGATAAGACATATGTTTATTAAGTACAGTTTTCAATACAGATTTTTTGGATCATTCAAAGTACCCCTAGAGAGTATACCGCAGGGTGAATCAAATCATAGCAAAGCGATATGTCAAATAAAATACTTAACCTAATGATATTACATGACCACTGACTAGATATGCTGTTGACAAATCACAATGGCTTCGTTTTTTGTTTTACATTCTTAATCCCTGTACTTGCATTTTTAGGCATAATAACCGTCCCGGGGATAATAAAAATATAAAATAATATATAAGGACAATATAAATTCAAATATCTACACTTAATCAGACATAATAATTCTTTCTACGTAACGGCATCAAAGCTTTCCACTTAATGGCTGTTATATAATTATTTAATGGAAAAAGTATTCCGAATTCCCAATGTTTAATTTTGCGTGAATGTTATTTTCCTTACCAGTATTTTTACGCAATGTTTACTTCTTTCAGACTACGTTCGAACGATGATATCATTCGGTATCATAAGTTTGTTCGTGATGGCTATGGGCTGTGGCTTCTCAATCTACACCTTCCGCAACCCAAGATATATGTTCAAGCGTCTCGCAGCTGGCATACACTTTATAAGCAGTAAGTGTTATGACGAAATCTTAAATCACCACCATCTTTCTGTGTTTTTACAACGTAAAATTAAAATCCATATAAATTAGTACTAGATGTTAAAAACAAAAAACATGACTATGGAATATATATACCTGGTAACCTGAGGCATAGTAGTCCTGAAGCCTGCAGCAATTCCTCTCTTAATTGTAATACTGATAATATTTAAATGCTATAATTGCGTTATTTGTAGCTATATATATATTATCTTGTTCTTAGACCTATTGAGTAGAAACGTAATATATAGACTAAAATCTATTTTTATAACATGAAACCACTTGTAGGAGCCGGAATATATAACATTAACCTGTTAAATGGTAAATGTTTTTTTTATCTTGACCTTTCGGATTCATGAGATGGCTTTTATAAACTTAACGTCAAATCAATTTCACAATAATTATCAAATGTGTATAAATTAAATTCCTTTAACAATTGTGCAAAACCTGTACCCTTAAATTATATAGATAATTTTAAAAGACCAGTCGGATATTCCTCAGTATTGCAATTATAATTTCTACATAGAGATATTCTAAATTTGTTATAAGGTTATATAAACGGATTGTGATTGCATTCAAACCCGAATATGATGTTTGTTTACCTTGGCTCGGGCCCTACGGGGCTTAACAGGTGTCTCTTGTAGTCGACATTTTTCACTATCTTATTGAATAACATTTCATTTTTCTAAACATATTTCGAAATTTCTTTACAGCTTCCTGTACTTTTGTAGTGGTGCAAGTCACAATGTCGTCTTTGGATCACATGCAGAAGAACGTGAAATATATTTATCCTGAACGTGCCTCTCACTAGTAAGTTATATGTAACTCGTCACATATAGCGATTAATGAACTAAATGAAATTAGTGTTCAATTATTTCAAACATAAAAAAAATATATACTTTTGCCTGAGTGATGATGCTAAGTTAAAAGATTTGTTAAAAGCACATTTATAAATGACATAAATTTATAAAATGTTATAACACTAATTGTAGAAAGAACAGAAGGCTGATGTACTTCGTCATACAGAGAAATTATTTATGAAATACAGGGTCTAAGGAGATGCATAAGAAGCAAACTTAAATACTCATTTTTTCCAGCTTCCATATAAGTTACTTCCTGGCGTGGTTCGTTGTCCTAGTGAACTTCTTCGCAGCGGCGTCCTTCCTCTGGTATTCCCGTAAAAGGAAAGGTGATAAGGCAGCGACCGATGAACTTGCAATGGCGGACGAACCTACGATTATAGGTCGATGACCTTTCAGTCTTTTTCTCACGGTCCAGGTACAATGGACATTTCCACTACTCCCTAAACTCTGCTCAAACCAGACCAAAGATCTGCGAAAATGTCTTCCACAAACGCTAGTTTTAATCCAACAGCTTTTGGCTTTTTTTCAATGCTCGTTTATTTTATAGGTATTTGAAATGTAATATCTCTCTATCAAGGTCTATTTAAAAATAAATCTGTTTTTAATAATCCTATTCTTACTTAAATATACAAAATACAGCTTCATTCAGGTTACATTTATGTCCTTTCAGAGAATTTAATGGATATCTTCTATCTATAGTTAAATACCTTTGAAATTAGCTGGCTATTAAAGTAATAATTGTTCGCAAAAAAATATTTGACGTGGATTTCAAATTCTATATAAAATTTGCGATGCATTAAAGCTTGTCATTTATTATATTCTACTATTGTTATATTCTTATTAAGGTATGTATTATTTTAAATAAAAGATAACTTTCAAATTTTATGATTTTATCTGAAGTTTATTACTTGTTTATTAAAATCTGTATTTACTTTAATTATGATAATTTATTATTGAATTTAGAAATATATTCGAAGTGCTAAATATACCTAGTTTTAAGATCTTGTAGTAATGTTTAAATATCTTCGAGGTATCCCTCTTGATAACACCAAGTTGCTTGTATATAATATAGTTCTATAACTTCTACATTTTAATAACATTTGCTCATTTTATTATGGTTGTAGCTAAAATTACTACTAAAAGCACTTAAAAGCGAAAAAACCCTATTTCCAAAATCATTAGCTTTTTCTTGTACGACAATAGATATTGCCCCCAATAAAGTGTAGGGCAAAAATGTTTAATTGCTAATTGCGGATACCACCAAAGTAAAAAGTTATAAATCATTATGTTTTCCATAAAATAATATTTTACATATAACAAATGAATAGAAGAAGGGAAAGAAGGGATTTTCTTTATTAATTTTAACATAAAGGCGATTAGAACCAAAATTAATGTGGTTCGTACCGTAATAATTAGTTAAAACTGACATAGTTTCTTGTCTTTCATCAAGAATAACCATAAAAAAATAAACGAAATTCCTTACACCGCTCTAGAAAAACCGTGGCTTCATTATAATTCATACTGTGTTACAAATTCCAGAGATAAGTGGCAAAATGAGTCTGTAAGTTTGCAAGTAGTTCGAAGTACTCGAAAACAAGAAAGATACGCCGAGTCCTGAATAACAAAAACGTTTGTTCTAAATTTAAAATTTCAGCTTCCGTCATGTCAAGTAGGTGTTTCGATGTCACACCTAAAATAACAAAGAAATGAAATTCCTCTTTTCCGCCTCATTTGTTTTGCGTAACAAGTTTTTTTTGAATAAATACTTTGTTGACAGTTGATCTCTATTAGTATTCAGGGTAAGAAAGGTACCTTGCAAGGTGTACCAACTAAAAGCTACAACCTTACTGCCTAATGTATATTTAAATACTTATTATATATTATTTTAAACTAAGTACAAACTGTTTTCATATTAGTATTTTTAGTGATAATTATAGATGCTATAAAGCTTACTGTTTTAAGCTTTCCTTGTATTTTTAAGATTTTAAGATTAAAATTGAGTGTTTTTTGAATTCAAACCTTTTTTGCAAATTAATGATTGTTTTAAAACATTTTAACTTTTTGTCAAGTGTAAGTATCAATGTATAATATAGATCTTTTCATATCACATGCATTGAAACAGCGAGTTTTGATCTCTGTTTTGCCAGTCGACCAATTTCAGACCAATGCGACTGTATCAACAATGGTAAATTCACACAAACTGATAAAATGGTAAATTAACTATATTAAAATGTACTTTTATTATCTGATTTCTGAATTATTCTATGAATAAAATAGTATAAGACCTTACTGCGCTATTTGTCTTCTGAAATAGTCTTCGACTGGTTACAGAAATTAAAACTCGTTGTTTCATAACATGTGATATGAAAAATACAGTGTGTACTAGTCACACAATATACTATTCTATCTACAGTTAATAATAATTACGGAATCGAATATCAAAATAATATCAAGTCTTGGACCTAACTGAAACATAGATAAAAGATTATAACATATATTCTAGTCAAGTTAAAATACTCCAATCGAAAATGTGCACTAAAATTTAATTTTTGCTGTGCCTTATTGCTCTTGCTGAATGTTTGTGTATAATTAAGGCTATATTTAGACTATTATATTCATCAGTTAATATATATGTGACGCCAAAGATAAAAATTTCACTTTCAAAATCTATGAAATATTTTCAGAATATGTTACATCTGTATTTTTATGTCTTCAATATATGATATCACTTATATATGTCATTGACCTTTACACACAATAAAATCTTTCACACAACTAAGTTTTTCTTTTGTCATCCATTTGTTCGTGATCCCATAGTTTATGAAATATTTTATAAGACTTATTGGCATTTATAATATTTAATGCAAATTCAAAATCATTAAAATTCATTAAGGTAACACAATGTACACTTATGAACGTCAATAAAGGAATACATATTAAATGCTTCTAATGTTACATTTACTGCCAGTTCTCAAATCAAGGGCGTAGAAGAACTGGCAATAAACTCTCCGCCACTCTCTCATTTTAATCGCCAAGTTTTTGTTTTACAAAATGTTTCTAAGGACTCCATCCCTTACACCAAGTTTCACATGACATCTTTAAGTACTATAAAAAAAAAACAAAGATTTATCAGCAGTAGGCATGGTGAAATAGGAGCACGCACTTACATTCTCGTGGGAACAACACGCAAATAGAGTAAGAATAAGTCTTAAATTAACATAAAAATAATAAAACAGATTTTACCTAAATAATGTTGCCTTAAAAGTCATATTCTTGTTTTTCTTTTTGCTGATACGATAACTGGCTACAATAGCCGCAATATTTTTTAACGTCCCTTAAGCGTAGCTTTGTAATGACTGTAATCGTCATAATAGTTCCATTACGCGACTAATGGATTCGTAGGCCCGGAAAACATTAGGAAAAATGAATGCTATATATTTTTGGCACTCGAGCCTAATGTCTAGTTGTAATTACAAACGTTACCAAAGGAAATCACCGGCATACTTGTGTTAATCGCCAGGTCAGTGCAATTACAACATGTCACGGGAATTTGAGTCTAATCAACATGTAATGATGTCGAAAGTCGCATATCATTTAATACGTGAAAAATGTCGTACACACTTTTCGCTGCTATTTTAAGATACGCATTGTCGGTGTCTGGCATCAACCCAGAGCTGCGAACGTGGTTACCAGCTTACAGAGGTTACTGGCCTGAACTCTTTTGTTTTTTTAATAGCCCAACAAAGACATGGGTGACAAGGTCAAATCAATTGTAATATACGCCAGCGTTAAATTTATATTAAAGCTCTTTTGTGTGAAAGTCGGACGCTGTAAGATTTACAATTCCTGGAGATGAATATAAAATTAGCTTTTAATACCTTGTCAAGCCAAAGGCAGCGATACAATGGATATACTCGCTATACACTATAATTAAATTAGTTTGAATGTAACACGCTTACCCCGTAAGCTCACTAACAATTCCGACGATTCCGTGTTTTAAGGCATCGATATCTGTGCTAGGCATTCCTACTGCATCGAAATTGGGTTTGGTCTTAATATGACTTCATTATGATCCCTGAAAAGGCCATCTAACCTTTTTTGAGTCCGATAATTAAACGCTGTTAAAATTGTCGTAAGCTTACAGGACGGCGTTACTTATTAAACCGATGCACTTTTATTTTGCACAATGCTCGTTTTGTTTTTGTTTTACGCCTCCACAATTTTAATTAACACATTATTTTAATGAATTTAATGATTTGTTACAAAGTTTTTTTGTACAGACAAAACAACCTAAGCTAAACCTACGCGGGTAATAATGAACCAAAATTCAATATTAGCTTTTAAATATTATATAAATTCGTGACTATATACTACAAGGTGTACTGCTCATGAAATCTTTATCCTTCATTAAAAACAACAGACGAATGATGTCAAGTTCTTTGTTCTTTTTTTTATAGAACAAACGGGCAGGAGGCTCACCTGATGTTAAGTGATCCCGCCGCCCATTGACACTCTCAATGCCAGAGGGCTCGCGAGTGGGTTGCCGGCCTTTAAATTCTTCTTTTACTTAATTTTTTTCAAATTATTTCTTAATTTCCCTTCTGCACCTGCGTAAAAAGTATATGTATGAATAAAACATTTGTATATGAATACATAATATATAATATTGCTTACAACATCTTATGTATATTTTAACATACGTACTGTGTAATCTGGCCGGGGCTCACCCGGAGATAGAATCCCGGCAAAACAATGAATTGTTGATATGTCAAAGGCAACATTGGCATAAGTTGTAAGACACCCTGCAAATCATTTTTAAGATTATTATTTAAATCGTATTTTGGATATCTACTAAAAGTAAATGCATGAACAATGAACATTGTTCTAACCGGCAAAATCTTTTTGATAAAAAAGAGCCGCTAAAAAGATAAAAATGTATCTACAATGGCCCTTTGGGTGGATGCGGAACTCAATGCATGCTTGTAGATAATTGCACACTATGGTTTTGTTAAAGAATTATTAAATTTTCTGAATAATTAACTAAGATATAATAAAGTTTCCAAATCTGTGGATTCTGAGATCGTCAAACTATCCAGATACAAACTCGCAAATCACATAGAAATTACACTAGCCAAATTGGATTTCGAATCTACAGAGGCCTTACTATGTATCTTGGTATGACTTGCGGTTTCGAAAACTAACACAAACACAGTGCAGGATCATAACAACTTTCAGCTACACTCTCAAATACATGCGCATACACACCCATTCACACACTCACTCATTCTTAATTTGTAACACTAAATTTATTATTATTTTTTTATTTTTATAAACTGTTTTAAACATGTACCACGGAATAATTGTTTTCTAATTAGCTACATCTCAGGG